CCTTTGGGTCCTATAAATTTTGAAAAGAAAAACCCTTGCGACTTTTGACTATTGAAAACTTTGTGCGGTTGCTTCTTAAAAAAGGAACAAATATTTGTATATATGAAAGAAATGTGACTAGAAATAAATATAAGAGCAAAGATAAATATGTGTGGGCAGACAGATAAACATTTAGTTAAATAATGGAATGGGATAATCAAATGTTATATTAAGAAAAGTATATGCATTATTAATGAGATATTTGTCTGACTATTTAGTATATAAACATTGAGAGAATTAGAAAGTTTCTTAATGAAAATTTTCTCCAACTATATTCTAATAAATTTCATATTTCACACAGCAGCAACAGTTGTATATAAATTTATCCGTTTGGAGTCTATAACAATGATATTGCGTATATCCTTATCAAGTGTTAAGATTTCAACAATTTCGTAATGGATTTGGGGCATTATGAATATCGGTGGGGAAAATGTTGAGTTGTGAGTGTATTTTTACATTTGTAGAGGCCTTTGTCTAAATATTATTATTTACGGCTTAGGGCCAAAGAGCCAGCAGCGACAACTGTTACCCCGGTAGCACACCGTCCTGAACTTTAACCCCTTAAAGTCGACGTAATTCACTAAGCGAAAGCTGCTCGCAAAACAGACGCAGATGCAGATGCCACTGCGTAGGGAAAATAACCAGCTGCGGGGCGGAGGGTGGCAAGCTGGAGATGAAACGTGCGTTGTCTTGTCGCAAAGTTTTTAAGACTTGCTTGACCGACCTTTGTCAAAAGTTGCTGGAGCGCATGAAAAATGATGCCACACGGCACGGGATGTGTTACAACACAGCTCTCTCTCTCTCTCTCGCTCGCTCATTTCTCTCTTTTTTCCTCTCTCTCTCTCTCTCTCTTCCTCTCTATCTCTCTCTTTTGTAAGGGTTGTGTGTGTGTGCAGACAAAATAGCAATTTGCGTTTTCAAACAAAACAAGCCGAGAGCAAAGCTTTGGTTTTTGTTACTGCCTTTTGCCTTGGTTCACAATTGATTGAAATCCCTAAGCGCACACCTTTTTTCTCTAGCACGGTTTTGTATGTTGCTTTTGTTGTTTTCTTTTGTTATTGTTGTTGTTGTTGCTGTTGTTGCTGGCTGGCTTAGCTGTGCCACATAGAAACACACAACTTCCGCTTTCTTTGGCAAAAACAATAGAAAGCACATAAATTTATGGTTTCAGCATTGTGCTTTTGACACACAACCATGTGGGGTGTTGGTAAGGTGGTGGGTGGGGGGGATGTTGAATAGGCCAGTAGTGTTTGGCAAGGGGGCTAACGTTAAGGGGTTAATATGCCTGCAACCGCAAACGGGATTCGGATTTGGGTTTTGGCCAGAACGTGCAATAGAGTGGGTCGTAACGAAGAGAAGTTGACTAGAGTTGACTTTTCTTATAAATAATTTTACTAAATGGATTTGGTATAAATGCTGACATTAAGCATGTGTGCGTGAATGTGCATGTTTCTGTATTTGTGGGTGTCTGTGTGTGTGCGGGAGTGTGTGTGGTAGCTGCTTGAACTAATTACCTGCAAATTTATATTATTTTTGTTTAGAAGGCAAAATGTTGCTTACTAACTGCAACAATCAAAATTGGCAAAATTGAGAGTTTGGCTTCATAACTGTATTTATATACAGTTAGTATATGGAGTGTGTTTGAGTGTGTGCGTGTGTGTGTGTATGTGCGAGAGTGTTGGGGCCAAGTTTAATGGTTTTTCGGGGCATTTTCTTGCAGCTGTTTCGCTTTGTGGTTGCCAGCACTGTTGTTGCTGCTGCTGCTGCTGTTGTTGTTGCTGTTGCTGTTGTTGCTGTGCGTTTCAAAATTTATGTTTGCTGGCTATGAAAATGAAATGACTGTGGTAAACATTTTAATTAAATCCAAGTTTGGCTTCTGCCTTCGTTACAACAATATATTTTGTTGTCGTTGTTGCCACTTTTGTTGACCTCTCACTCTCTCCCTCTCTCTCTCTCTCTCTCACTCAGTCACTCGCTTTTTTGTTCTTTTTTTTTTGCTCGTTTCTGTAGCAAATAAATTTTAATTTTATTTGGCCGCGTTTTAATTTGTTGTCCACATTTTTTTTTTTCGTTGTTTTTATCCTTCGCTTTGTATTTTTATTATTTCTCTGTGTTTTTATTCGCATTTACACTTTATGCATGTGCGCATTTATTTTGTTTGCTAGCTTTTCTATTGGCCATGATGCGGGCGTGTGTGCGTGGGTGTAGTGGGGTGTGTAGGGTGGCCGCTGACAGCCGGTCAAGTGACATTTGCCGCTGAACACACACACACACACACACACACACCAAGAGAGAGAGAGAGAGATGAAATGCAAAACAAACTTTGCAGCTGTCACTCAAAAATGAGATTCGCAGCGGCCGACAGCGAACAAAGCGATGCAATGAACATGCCAAGTGCTGATACAGGCAGGGTCACAAAAAGCATTCGAGGGCAGGTGGAGGAGTTGGATTTCTGAGTGGGCTGTGTGTGCACTGAGAGAAATGTGAAATGGTTAATTGGGCGGAATGGTATTTGGGTATGCGAATTGCTTGTCGCTATATGAAACGAATAGTTCGCAATGAGAACAGCAACAGCAGCAGCAGCAGCAACAGCAGCAAGAACAACAGCAGGGGTTAGAAAGGTAAATGAAAGGTTGACGGACAGTTAATTTCGGGCAGTTGATTGAGTTATGAGCTGCGCACACACGCACACACACCCGTTGCAAGGGGTGTTGGCGAGGGGGGGAGAGAGGTGACAAATGGAGCTGATTGCCGATACACGATTTTCATTTTGGCACATGGGCAACGAGTGCGGATTTGTTGGGAGTGGAGTAAGTCAGGGGGCTTTATATGTGACACATGCTTGAAGCAGGTGAATAGTTTTGGTGATGGGTGGTTCTCTAATTTTTGAAGAATGGAAATACGTTTTAATGCTGGCTCATTTGCTAATTATAAATTAAATTGTGTTCAACATAATCATAATACTTGGCTTGCGTTTATCTGGCAGTGAAAATCGAATTCTAAAATAAGTTTCATCCATAAATCATAATTAATCCGGCTTCCAAGGTCCTAGAATCCTAGAATGGAGACTCACTTTGATCATCTTTCATTCGTATTTAACAAAATTTTCAATATTTTTAGCACTTCTTTAGCACAACTTTTGTGTCAGTTTAAATTTGCAACTCAAAGCTTAAAACCTTGATAACTTTTGCAACTCACTTTCAATATATGTTCGCTCTTAAATTGTGAAAAGTAATTGCAAGTGCACAGGAAAGAGCAACAGCAAAAGTGTTAAGCACTTTTTTCACATTTCAACTACATTTCACCGAATAATACAATGCAATAGCTAAAGAGAACTAAATAATTAAACTAGCCAACTGGCGGCGACAGCTCATAAATTGGGCTTAACTCAAAAAGGCACGCTTAACTTTTTACCACTTTATTCTTACAATATGTATATATAGACACATGTGTATATGTGTATATATGTGTGTGAATTGGGTAGAAAGGTAGAAAGTTTTGCTGACATGTTCTACACCTGCAGCTAATTGGCAGGCCATTGAATTTGAAATGTCGAGCGAGCCGCCCCATTAAAACTTAAAGTGTAGCGAGCACATTACACATTCCTCACAGTATACACAAATAAACGTAAAGAGAGAGAGAGAGAGAGAGAGAGAGAGGGGAGGAGGGGGAGTGTGTGAGTGAGTGAGAAAGGGTGTGTGTTGTTGCCATCAATTTGCATGCCACACACGCATAGCGAGGACAGCAGCACCGAATCAAAGCCACTTTCATTGCCTCCATCGCCGCCTCCTCTTCCTGCTGCGTCTCTCGTCGGCGTCCTGCACTTGCGCCAGTTGCTGTTGCCTGTTATTTATGGCCACCGAAACTGTCATAAGCAAACAAATTGTTTTTTATTGTTCATAATTATTGTGCATACTTATGTAAATCACGCAACGCATTCCGACTTGTTTCGTTCCGTTGCATGCCACCCCCACACATAGACAGACATGCTGGCAACACTGCTGCTGCTGCTGCTGCTGCTGCTGCTGTTGTTGTTGTTGGTGTGGTGTTTGCTTGCCACAAGCGCAACTAGTTGCTATTTGCTGTTGCCGGCGAGTGTGCGAGTGTGTGACTGAGTTTGGTGTGGCAAAAAATCGTTTGTTTTATTGAATTTTTATTGTAGTTTGAATTTATGATGCGACTGCTGCGCATCCAGTCGACTGGATTAGGGTTTTCTTTGCCAGCTTTTGGCGGAGATGACTTTATCGGCTTTTTGCTGCATTAAATCGGGTAACTGGGCCCCAGCATCACCAGCATCACCAGCAACAGCAGCAACAACACCAGCAGCAGTAGCCTTCTTTCCTTTCTCCTACTCTGTAGCCCCTCGCACGCTGTTTGTCTGGCAATTTTGTTGAAATAACTTCAGTTTTGCGTTTGTGTGCGTACGTGCCACTCTGAAGTGCGCTTACTCTGGCTGCCAGATTAGCTCGGCAAAAGCCGCAGACAACAGCTGCCGTGGCAAGTACAGCCCAGAGGGGCGGCAGCAAAGGCAAAGGCACAGGCAGCGAGAGAGAGTGAGAGAGAGAGGGAGAGAGCGAGAGCCCAGTTTGGGGTAAGAGTCGGCACGAAATGGTTGCTGGTTTTTGTTTTTGTTGGGCCTTGAAGCGTGTGCATGTGAATAATGTCCAGCAATTGGCTTTGGAGTTGGGTCTGGCGTTTGTGTTTGGGTTTTGTGTGTTCCACAGACGACGTCATTTATTTATGGCGCGCAAATTTTTATGAAGACCGTAACCTAAAAAAAAAAAAACAACGAGAAAAAATTAGTAACTTTCGTTTCGCGGTGATTTCGTTGGGCCACAAAAACATGTTTGATGACGTCTCCCTGACATTTCATAAACTTCCTTCTTATTGAATATTTACCACAAGCCCACACTTGTTTCTGCATCATTGTTGTTCGACTGTTTTTGCTTGTTTATTTGCAGAGAGCTTACGCGATTACTTTGGCCGCTACGGCGACATCTCCGAGGCAATGGTCATGAAGGATCCCACGACGCGCAGATCCAGGTGAGTTTCTAAATAAACCAAAATAAACCCAAATCAAGATGTTAATCTCGACACAAATCAAAGGTTGTAAAATTTTGTGGCGTAAGCCATCAGAATATTGCAACAGATGCTGGACAAGAATTAGGGCAAGTGTTGAGTGACAGTAAAATTAGAAAGTTGCTTAAGCCATATGCGGTTTGCACTTAAACTTTTGTTTGGCATTTTACTCAAAAAAAAATATATATATATATAAATAAAAGTTTAAGTACAGATAAAGTCTAGCGAAGAAGAGCACCTCCAAATTGTTTGTTAGTGGAAAATCGTTTCACATTTATCGGTTTTATCGGTTTGAAGTATGTTCAATACATTTAATAAACGTTGTATTCGTTATATATATAATTGTATATTCAATTAAAAATCATTTAGCCAACACTTTGTAATGCAGATTTCATGCTTTGCCTGTTTGGCTTTGACCAGACATTGATTATTATTCTGGTAAATCTCGGTGACCGCATTTTTACCTTTCCAGCTCTGTTATTGACCCTTGTCGGCTGCGTTGCTCTTTCGACTAACCATATTCCATTCCCGGCTTTAAGTTGTTGTTGTTGGTGCTGCTGATGTTGTTGTTTATGGCCATGCACGATTGCATCCATTTCCAAATTTGAACAGTTTGGTTAACCGCTAATTGGTTTTAATTTTCATTGATTTTATTTCGCATTTTTGTATTTTTTTTTTAAATTGCTCGTATGTATGAGTGTATGTAATATGTATATATGTATATACAATATATATATATAAATGAGCTTCTCACTACCTGTCCCTTTCTGTCCCCTTTCCATCACACTTTCACTCCTGCTGCTGGGCTGTGTTGTATTTATGCGAATCGTTTGTCATTTGTTGCGGTTTCGTTCCGCTTTTGGTTGACTGCAGACCCAACCAGCTTGGCCCATTTTGGCCTCTCTCCGAGCTTATTCAAAAATGCTTAACGTAAATTAGCTGGTTTCTGCGGACAGTATGAATAATGAGCGCCATTTAATGAGTCAATTGCAATTGAATTTGAGCTGCGATAATCACAAAATAAAACCCCGACAGTCACGACATTGGCAGCTTTTAAACTAGTGCGTCACTTTACGAGTGCGTTGGTATGTGTGTGTGTGTGTGTGCCTGTCACTCAAATTAAGCGTTTTATGGCGGCGTATGCGCAATTTGAACACACGCTAAGTGAAGCGCGAGCGAAAGTTAAGCGCATTTTTTCCTGGTTAAAGGACTTTGTTGCAAAAAAACAGTGGAATGGAGAGAAAGAGAGAGGGGGGAATGGGCAACAATGGCATGCCATAGCGAAATATATCCTTGTTTTAATTGAATTTCGTCTAATGTCCTGTGCTCGACTTTTGCAGATCCAAACCAACACACACACACACACACACACACACAATCACTCGGCTCAGGTTAACAAGCGCCTCGCTGTTGGTAAAGTTTATGCCACATTCTTCAGCTACAGCTGCTGCTGCTGCTGCCATGTGTCCTTTGCCTTTGTGCATGTCACGTTGGCTGGCAAAATTTTTATGAACTGCGTGCAGCAGCAGCAACAACAACCACCGAGTACTGGCAACACTAACAGCTCCGCAGCTCCATTGGCTGGTGTCTTAGCAGTTCGAGCAGCAGCAGCAGCAGCAGCAGCAGCAGCTGGCAACAAGGACAAAAGACAGTATAAGGGCTGAGAGGGTGGGTGTGAAAAATCTAAGGCCCCATGTAGTTGTAAATTCCGCAGCTCTATTTGTTGGCGTTGTCGCTTGATGTCGTTGCTGATATCATCGTGTCAGGGATTTCTAGCAAAATTTAATAAAAACTTTATGTCGCTTAAAAGAATGTTTATGGAAATTTTTCACTTAAACTTGCGCAAAGTAATAAATGTAAACAGAATTCCTGAAAAGGTGCGACAACAAAATTCAAACTGAGAGCAACAGCAGCAGCAGCAGCAGCAGCAACAAGCTGCACACAAAGTTGTTCTTGTTGTTGTTGCTGGTGTTGCCGCCGCAGCGAGAGTCAACAGTGCGGTTAATAAATATGCGCACCAGGGCAGACAAAGAAAGCATTGCATACTTGTAGGCGACACCTTCTATGAGTGTGTGTGTGTGTGTGTGTGCCTGTTGCTGGCTTAGAGATACAACGCCAGAATAGATTGAGATACATGGGCTACGATATGGCAGCACTTCTATTCTTACTTTCTCTCTCTCTATCACTCTCTCTGTATTTCTCTCTCTCTCTTCCATTCTCTATCTCTCCCACTCTCCATTTCAGTCTGTCGCTGTTGTTTTGTCTGTTTGCAAATGAGATTGTATATTACAATAAAATGGAGTGAAGTACAAATTAGAAAACTTGCAAATAAATTTAAAAGCACAAAATGAAAGCAGCACAACAGCAAAATAGAATTAATACAAAACAACAACACAAAAAAAAAAAAAAAAAACGAAATCACAAACAAAAAAAAAACGCTCTGCAGGGCAAAAGCAAATGGCAAACAAAACACATTCAGCAAACGTTAGATGCGATACATGGGGAGCCGGAGGAGGAAGGGGAGGAGGAGGTGAAAACTGAGGGAAATTGTGAACAAAAAATAGCAAAACTTTTGCAACTTAAGCGAGTTTTTTTCTCTCGTTGTTGCTGTTGCTGTTATTGTCGCAGCGGCAGAGACAAAGCGGGTCGCTGAAGTGCAACAACAATAAAAATTGAGTAAAATGGCAAATGGCAGCTGTAGTAATGTTTGGGGGAAGGGTGTGGGAGCTGCGAATAGCTACGCCCCCTGCCTGCTACCCTACCCTACAGCAGCACCATAAGTAAATCCAAACAATTTATTGTTGTACTTTTAACATTCTTCTCATGCGCATTGTTGTTGTTGCTGCTGCTGCTGCTGATGCTTGTTGTTGTTGTTGTTGCCTGCCACCATTGAAGCAAACATAAGCGACTTTTCAATGAGTTTCGAAAGTTATTGAAACATAAATTATATCGCACGGCGCACGCACGCCAAGAGCAGACCCCGAGACCCCAGAGCTCTGGCTGGAGCTGGAGCCAGCCAACCAACAACCACAAGCAAACCCACAAATACGCCTGTAGCAACAGCAACAGCAGCAGCAACAGCAGCAGCAGCAGCAGCAGCAACACAAACAACAACAGTGACACCCCTTTAAGGCTGGCGTCGGGGCACGCGAGGTGTGGTTGAGTGGTTGGGTGGGTAAAGAGGCGGCAGTTGCTACCTTACGCATTTTTGTACATGGCAATTAAGTTAAATTTTTCTTTCTCTTGTTAATGTTTTTCATGCCCTTGCTTTTTGGCTGCCAAGTCTCATAACATTTGTCATGCAGCTTGCAACGCAAGTTTCTAGTTACCTTTTAAAAAAGTATAATGAAATGTGAAATGCGTGCGAATAAAAGTTTTTTTTTAAGTAGTTCAGTGTCAGAGACTGGCAGGTATTTGAGTTATGATGCTTACAACTAACTGTATAACTAGGTGAAACTGAATAACAAATTTGAAATTGTGTATAAGCCTATTTAAAAATCGTATTTAACTTTTAAATATGTAATTAATTTATTATAAAGCCATTTCATTTTATATTAAAACAAGATACTTGCTTAGTAAACTTAAGGCAATATTAATCTAGAGGCCAACGAAATAATGAAAAGCTTTTACTTTCAAAAAAGTTACAGTGTAGACATAGTTAAAGCTATAAATATTCTGTGTCTATAAACGACTTTTTTTCAAGTGTTATATAATTGTTGGGAGGGAGTTCTTTTGTCGACTAAGCAAATATATTTTTCATTTTCATTGTGGCTGTTTGCTGCTCGTTTTTTCTTACACGCGCCAAAAGTGGTATTTTATTTATATGCTGGACGCTCAGCGAATGTTTTATATGTGTGTATAAATTTACCTGGATCTGTATCGAGGCGGCGATATAACTCAGAAGCACATTTGCTGCACAATGCTGCACATAAATTTAAGAGGTCTTAGATAAGAAGTGCTTGTCGAAGAGCAAACACAACACGAAACACTTTCAAAACCATTAACTGTTTAGAATCTATAAACATTTACAGTCTGCTATGCTTTGTGTATATGTCGCTGGTGTTTGTGTGTGTGTTCGTATACAGATTGCTGACTTTAAAGTCGCAAATCATAAGTAGATGTGTTGAAATTTGAATCTATGATTCAATCAACAAGCGAAAGGCTTGAATAGGCGCATTTCATTGCTAGCTGGAATTAAATTATCAGGATCTTTGTTAAGCATTCAAAGCTAGTCCAAGATTAATTTGCAATTTAATTATCACTTTCAGTTAGTGTCAAACAAGGCAAATCGCTTGTGGCAAAATATACAGCGCTTGAACGTTTGGCAAATGATTTTGTAATTACAAAACACATTTCACAAATGCATAATTGCAAATATTCTGTATACATTTGCCCCTTTAGCGTTATCCTTTTGATTGCCATTTAACGATAAGTTTAATTTCTGCTCTCAGTGCCCCAAAATTCCACAGCCACTTTAATGTTATTTATGATCGTTTGTATATAGCGCCATAAGTTTCTGTTTCACATCAGGGCTTTTGGCACTCTCCCTCTCTGTCGCTTTGTCATCTCTGTTCTCTCGTTCCTGCTCAGTTCTGTCAGCTTCAAATCACTCATTACACTTACCACAGCAATCCAAAAACGTGGCCATAATTAACTCAATTTAATCGCCCTCCTTTCTCGTCCGCTCGACGCTTCAGTGGCTCACTTGTGTTTGTCATGTCGCAGCAGCAGCAGCAGCAGCAGCAGCAGCATTCAGTTAGCCATCCCACAGCCCTCAGTATGCTGACCTTCATCCGGCTCAGTTAACCTCACACTCCTGGCTGCTGCTATTGCTGATTCCTGTTTTCAGGAACTGAGCTCACACTTGACCACTCGACGATTGGTCGACGGCTGTTTTGGCAACGATGCTTTGCCCTTTTCATGTTAATTTGCAGCACAATGCCAAATGGGTTTATACATATGTA